TTTTTTTTTTGTTGTTCTCCCGCCCTGGCGGGGGGTCGGGCTAGAAGATCTACTAGGTCCCTTCCGACCCTTAATCTATGAATCTATGAATCTATGACTTTTGAACTTTACTATTACACTACTGTAGGATTTTTTTCATAAAAGAACCTCATTTGCCTTTTAATTGGGATGAACTCATCACAGGACGGATTCGGTTATAACATAATAAGTGAAAACAATGCTAATATAAGAGTTTTTTAAATTCTTAAGGCACATTCAGAAAAGCATATGCGTGGTTTGAGGTGCCGCAAACCGCACATGGTACATGTGCAACTGTGAGCTGTACTGCAAATTTGTAGTGCGGCACAAAAATTTGATAGAGGTCAAGACCCCTCATCCCTTCCCACTGTGGGGGTGGATAAAGGTGTTTTATGACTTGTGATATTAATGAGTTCGTTCCATGTCTACGTCATATACTCATAGAACTACATCACAAGCATAAGGCTTAATTCACTAATGCTCATGAATCACACTGAGATCTTTTGATGAAAATACTTGGTCATAGCAAAATATTGTTATTTTTGCAAGTTTAGATTGTCGTATATCAACCTTAGCATGCTTGCAGAAAAAATGGATTTACCAATTGTTAGAATGATTATTTAGTTATTATGATAGTTGATATTAATACTGAAAGCAATAGATTGATTTGGGCTAATGTCTCATGCCACCAAACTCCCTGGCAGTGCTTTAAAAAGGTAGGGGAAAGTACATCCCTCTTTCCTGGAACTGCAGAGGATCTTGGTCCAGTGGTACTATTACAAATGCACAGCATGAAAGGAATAGAAGGATGTTGAAATCCTACTAAGACATCCTTAACTTTATCCAGCCCTAAAAAGAACTAAACTTTAGAGTGAATAGAATATTATGGGGGAGATTATTTTTTTGGCAAACCAGACCCATAGAACTGCATCTGCAACCTAGGATGATGACACCTCATACATTTTTGGTTTTTTTTGCAGATTCAATATTGCTGACAATATTTCACAGTGGGTAAGAGAAGCAGAGAGACACATATGCTAGATGAAAGGCAGATGCAAAGTTCACTTTTGAAATACCTCTTGGGGTTTTTTTTGGGATGGGAGTTTGGTTTGTCATTTCAATTGTGAACTCTTGGCCCACATCCAGATGAGAGTGGTACCCCTGCTCTGCCATTTGGACAGCTATTGCCTGGAAGATGTGATTATTGTGGTGACCCACTTTGAACTGTCAAAGCATGTCCTCCTTGCCCCAAATGGCCACAGGTTAGCC